CTGCCTGAGGACAGCAGAACAGGGTGAGAGTTGGGTGACAGGGAGGGGGGCCGGCCTGCTGGGCCCCTGGGAGGGGACCATCAGGGGAAGGCCCTTGTTCTCGCTGGAGAATGGAACTTCCGCTTTGGACTGAGAACAGGAGGCTCCCAGCTGCCTGTCCCACTGCTGCCCAGCCCAGCGGCATCAGAGGACGCCAGGTTCCCAGGTGAGGATGGGGCTTGGTGCCTGGGGGGACTGATGGGCAGTACCAATATGGCAGAGGGTGGTGATTCCCAAAGTATAGGCCCTGCATCCCCTGCCTTAGAGCCACCTGGAGTGTCTGACAGTAAGGATTCCTGGGCCCAACCTCAGACCTCGGGAGTCAAACTCTCTGGGGGTCAGCTTGGGAGTCTGCTGCTACCTGGGGCCCCAGGTAATGGGGAGGCTCCAGGATAAAGGCTTTGGTGTCACCAAGACTGGAGCTGAGCCCTGCTTCTGCCTCTCAGGTGCTGGTGATCTGAGCCAAGTCACATGACCCCTCTCAGCCTGGACTCTCTCCAGGGATATCAGAACCTTTCAGGGCTGCTGTGAGCCCTAAAGGATATCAGCTCAGCCAGCGCTTAGCACACTACCTGGTGCAAGATATGTCAGAGGCAGGGATGAAATTAGAACCCAGGTTCCCCTCTGCTCAGCCCAGCATTTCTCCAGCACCCGCCTTCTCTTATTTCCTCACAGTCAGATAAGAAAGCTCAGCTTGACTCTTTCAAGGAAATGATTTGACTTGCAGGCGGAGTTGTGATGAGTTGTTAGTTAGTACTGATACCACTCAATAAGGCTTGTGAAGGAGGGTGTGGGGTCGGGCACTGCACTAGGGACCTGGCTCCTTCTAGGTTGCCTCGCGTGTAATCCTCTGGCAGACCTGTCAGGTTGAAATTAACTTTGCCAAAGGCTCAGAGAGAGGTTAAGGCACTTGCCTGAAGTCATGCAGTGAGGCAGCAGCAGAGCGGGAGTTGAAGGTCAAGTTGGCCTGACTCCAAGTCAGGGGGAAAGGGGCTCTTGGGGCTGGAAGGAGATGGAAGGGCGGCTGATATGGGGAACGTGTGAGGAGTCAGGCTGTCGGCAGTGACAGGCGGTAAAGGCAGGGGGTGGTCACCGGATGAGCTTTAAGTCCTCGCCCAAGTCTGAGACTCGCTGGCCCCTGAAATGGGCCAGAACCCAGATCTCCCCACTACCCCCCGCCACCTCCGGCTCCCCCGAAAAAGCCCAAGTCTCATCATGGGTCAGGACCCTGCTCCCCTCAACTCCCCACCCCCCAGCAGGTGGCCAGGGCTCCCCATCCCTGCGCTGCCTGCACCTGAGAGACCTCCTGTCCCTGAGCCCAATCTCCCAAAGGGACTGGATTCTTTTTTACTTTTCCAAGCATCCTCCATTGTGTCCTGAAACCTGGGGACTCTCAGATGATAGTGATAATCAAAAACTAGCTAATATTCACTAAGCACTTCCAACATGTCGGGCTGTCGTGAGCCCTAACGCATCTGTCCTGCCGCCAACGCTGTGAGGTAGAGATTTAGTGTCATCTCCCTTTTACAGAAGGGGAAGCTGTGGTCGGAGAGAAGCAACTTGCCTAAGGCCCATAGCTAAGAAGGGGCACAGGCCTGGTTTGGACCCTGGCAGTGTCCCTTTCCTTATGACACTCCAGGCCGCTCACCTTTGGTGAATGTTTGCTGCCAAACAACAGCAATAATAGTAATGATAAGAGCCGTCACCAAGCACCGGCCCCACAACCAGCACTGCTCTAAGTACAAGTCAGGCTGTAGCTCCTTCTGTCAGGCTGTCTGTCTCCAAAGCCCATGTTTTAACCACCAGGTAGGGAGGCCTCTTAATGTAACACCCCGTGGTGTTTGGATGGGTTTGAATGGGGAGCGGGTTTGAATCTCAGCCACACCGGGGCTGCGTGACCTTGATTGAGGTTCCCGCCCTCTCCACTGCCCAGTTTCTTCATCTGTGAAAAGAGAAAGCAGGGGTGCTTTCCCAGGGGGCTGCTGTAAGGACCAAATTAAATGAGAGAATGTGGCCCGTGAAGTGTTTGGCACAGAGCCTGGCACCTGCTAAGTGCCCAATGCATTGATTATTCAGGGTGTCAAATTGTCGTTGTGTAAAACCTCCAGCCAGATAAGCAGGATCGTCCCCAGAGCCACCCTTTCTTGGGAGCATGACAGAGCCTAAGCCGGTCACTTGTGGCCCTGGTCACATCCACATTTGCAGCCCCCCCTTTCCTTGGTACCCAGTACAGCCCCTGGTCTAATTCAGCTCCTGGTCTGAGCCTTGAACTGATTAGGAGACCAAGGGGGCTGAGGCTGACTTTCTGAGCACATGAGCCCCACATCAGCAGGTTTTTCTGGGCTGGCACAGGCCTCACGAGGCAGAGGAGGCAGGGGTCTAGCCACAGCCCCACCATCAGCCAGCTCACTGGGTGATTTGGGGAGGGCTGTTTTCTAATGTTTGCATCTCAGTTTCCTCATCGGCAAGGTGGAAAAATAATCACAACCCACTTCCCTGGAGTGCTGTGAGGATCAGACAACCCCAGCTACGGGTCTGAACTAGAGCCCAAAACCCTATGTTTCCTTCCCAGCCATGGCCTCACCTGGCTCCCCACGGTTATCTTGGGAGATGAGCAGGGACCCCTATGCTCTCCTATCAGGAAACTGCTCAGCCTTTGTGGGCTGAGGGGTTATGAGGGAAGGCTTCCTGGAGGAAAAATGCTTTGACCTGGGCCTAGAAAGATGGAGAGAATTTGGATCTGGGCAGAGGTGGAATGGGCTGCCTCAGAAGGTAATGAGCTTCCCATCACTGAGACGGTACAAGTCATGGATGGAAGGGGCCTTGGCAGAGATGTTATTGAGGAGACTTAACAGTAGGCTGAGGATCCCTCAAGAAGTTAAACACAGAATTACCATAAGACCCAGTCATTCCACTCCTGAGTATATACTCAAGAACTGAAAACAAGTTTCAAACAAATCCTTGTACATGAATGTTCACATTAGCACTAGTCACAGTCGGCAAAGGGTGGAAACTTCCCAAATGCCCATCAATAATGAATGGATAGGGCTTCCCTGGTGGCGCAGTGGTTGAGAGTCCGCCTGCCGATGCAGGGGACGCGGGTTCGTGCCCCGGTCCGGGAAGATCCCACATGCCGCGGAGTGGCTGGGCCCGTGAGCCGTGGCCGCTGAGCCTGCGCGTCCGGAGCCTGTGCTCCGCAGCGGGAGAGGCCACAACAGTGAGAGGCCCGCGTTACCGCAAAATAAAAAAATAATAATAATGAATGGATAAACAAATTGTAATATGTCCATACAATGGAATATTACTAAGCCATAAGAAGGAATGAAGCACTGGTCCGTGCTACAATGTAGATGAACCTCAGAGACATTTATGCTAAACGAAATAAGCCAGACACAAAAGTTCACACAGTGTATATAATTCCCCTTATACGAAGTATCCAGAATAGGTAAATCCATAGAGTCGAAAAGCAGATTGGCGGCTGTCAGGGACTGAGGGCCGAGGGGGGATTCGGGGGTAACTACTTAATGAGTACAGAATGTTATTTGGGTGTTATTGAAGTGATGGAAGTAGTTTGGAACTAGATAGGAGAGGCGGTTGTACAGCGTTGTAAATGTGCTAAATGTCACTGAGATGTTCACTTTAAAATGGTTACGTGTATGTTATGTGAGTGTCACCTCGATTTCTAAAAGGAAAATAGAAGATGCTAAGGGTGGGACTAGGTGAATTTTAAGGCCCCTTCTGTCCGGCCCCTTCTGTCCTGAGAATCGGTGCCATGCGCACTGGCCATGCTGACCAGCTCAAGACAGCCCAGGGCTTCTTCCTCGTTCCCCGGATAAGGAGGGGACAAAGCACCGTCCTCTCACCGGGGCCTACAGCCTTTGGAGGGACCTGAGAATATTCTGCCAGAAGAGGTGGCCTGGTGCACGGGCAGGGACACTGGCTTCCATGCCACACAGGCCTGGGCTTGAGTCCTGGCTGCAGTCCTTCCTGTGTTACCCTGAGCAAGTGACTCGGCTTCCCTGAACCTCAGTCTCCTCTTCGGTGTAGAAAAATTGGCTCTTCCACACAGGGCTGCTCTGAGGATGTAACGTGGCCCGCTGTGGAAGAGGCATAGGCAGCCCGAATTCAGAAGTTCTAATAACTGAGAACACTTGGAATAAAATCCCAAACCACAGCGATCAAGACCCTGACCTCTGGTCCTCCGACCGCTGACTCTCCTCTGGCTACACTGGCCTCCCTGCTGGTCCTCAACATTTCCGACTCTGTGCTGCCTCTGGCCCTTTGCCCTCCCTGTCCTTTCCTCCTGGAACATTCTTGCCCCAGCTCTGTCTGAACCTTCAGGTCTCGGCCTAAACATCACTTCTCAGAGATGCCTCCCTTGTACAAAAAAACTTTCCTGGTTCAGGCTTCCCTGGTAGCGCAGTGGTTGAGAGTTCGCCTGCTGATGCAGGGGACACGGGTTCGTGCCCCGGTCCGGGAAGATCCCACATGCCGTGGAGTGGCTGGGCCCGTGAGCCATGGCCACTGAGCCTGCGCGTCCGGAGCCTGTGCTCCGCAACGGGAGAGGACATAACAGTGAGAGGCCTGCGTACCGCAAAAAAAAAAAAAAAGGAAGGTCTATAGACTTTCCTGATGGGAGGACTTCCCTCACAAAACCAGCCCTCCAGGCAGCCTTTCATTTCAGCCAGGGCACTCACCACAGTCTATAACTAGTTCTATTGACTTGTATGTTGACCTATTTATCGTCTCCAAGACTGTCAGCTCCATGAGGGCAAGGACCACATCTGTCCTGTTCATCAGTGAATCTCCAGCACCCAGAACAGAGTCCGGGGGATAAGGTACTGAGTGAACACAGGAACAAGTGAAGGAATGAATGAACAAACCATGGCCGTAACCTACCGCATCTTCTTGTCCCGTCCCCCCCCCAGCCACACACACACAGGAAGCAGCTGAGCAGGGCCATGATGAAGACCCCGCGGGGCAGCGTCCCAGTGCTGCTGCCGCTGATGCTCCTGAGTCTGCTCCACGTCTCCCGGGCCCAGAGTGGCTGCACTGGGCACCCGGCCATCCCTGGCATCCCAGGAATCCCCGGGGCACCGGGCTCCGACGGCAAACCAGGGACTCCAGGGATAAAGGGAGAGAAAGGTACTTTGGACTTTGGGAACAGACTAGTGTCACTGACCAAGGCCCCATCTCCTACCTCCCAAGCCCCAGTTGCCCAACTTAGGGATTGCAAAACACTTGCAAATCCATCAGCTTGCTGAGCCCTCCACAATAACTTTGCAAGGAAGGAATTCTGATTCCCATTTTACAGATGGGAAGACTGATGTCCGAAAGGCTACTGACTTGCTCAAGGGAACCCAGTAAATGTTGAGGCTGAGGCCAAACCATGGCTCTCTTACCACTAAATCCACTGCCGTCACACAGTCCTGGGTTGTTACCTCCAGGGTAGGTGGCTTCACGTCTCTGAATTGCTATTTCCTCACCTGTAAAATGTGGATAATGATTCTTTTTCAGAGTTGTCACAGGGTTCAAATGAGACTTCCTGCCATAAAACCCTCCTGTAAGATGTAGTTCATGCGTTCATTTAACCATAGTCTTCCACTCTCTTCACATAATCTCACAATCCCACAAAATATCATCATCCCCATTTTACAGATGAGGAAGCTGAGCCTTGGAGAATGTGACTCAGTCAAGGTGACCCAACTAATAATGGCAGATGTGACATGAGAAACACATCTGCCTGTCCCATGAGCCCATGTTCACAGCCACTATACTCTGCCACTCTACTGGAAAAGGTTTTATCTTGTGTTCTGCCAAACCAAGGAGGAGTAGCTGTTTGGAGTGGTGGAGTGAGAAGGATTCTAATACTCACTTCCAGGTTCAGCAAGAAAGAATGCGTGACTGATGAGGGATATGTGCCATCAGGGAGGGGGTAGAGAGGGATAGCACATGTGCCCGGAATTCCTGATCCCTGCTCCAGGCTTAAGCCTGTATGAGCTGGTGAGGAGGGCAGGTCCAGCACCTTCCTGAGGGAGACGCCGCTCCCCAACCCACGGGCATCGGTCCCCATTACTGTCAAGCACGTCTCAGACTCGGAAAGCTGGGCTGGAAGGAGACTCGGGGGCCCTCCCCAACATCCCGTCCTCTTGTTCACAGATGGGGAGCTGAGGCCCAGAGAAAAGCAGGGACCTGCCTGAGGTTACACAGCCAGGCTCCCTGCTTCCCAGCCCAGCTCCTTCCAGGTTCTCAGCGATCTCTGGCCCCCTCATATCTCTTGTCTCTGCCTTCCAGGGCTGCCGGGGCTAGCTGGAGACCACGGTGAGCATGGAGAGAAGGGGGACCCAGGGTTTCCTGGGATTCCAGGAAAAGTCGGCCCCAAGGGCCCCGTTGGCCCCAAAGGTGCCCCAGGGCCTCCTGGAGCCCATGGCCCCAAGGGCGAATCAGGAGACTACAAGACCACGCAGAAAATCGCCTTCTCTGCCACACGCACCATCAACAGCCCCCTGAGGCGGGACCAGGTCATCCGCTTCGACCACGTGATCACCAACACCAACAACAACTACGAGTATCGAAACGGCAAGTTCACGTGCAGGGTGCCCGGTCTCTACTATTTCACCTACCACGCCAGCTCTCGAGGGAACCTGTGCGTAAACCTCATGCGGGGCCGGGAGCAGACACAGAAGGTGCTCACCTTCTGCGACTATGCCCACAACACCTTCCAGGTCACCATGGGCAGCGTCGTGCTCAAGCTGGGGCTGGGGGAGACCGTCTTCCTGCAGGCCACCGACAAGAACGCCCTGGTAGGCCTCGATGGGGCCAACAGCATTTTCACCGGGTTCCTGCTCTTCCCAGATGCAGAGGTGTGACCTGTGGGTCCAATTCACCCCCTCCCCTGCCAGCCACACTCTGTTTACCCCCAACACCAGCCCCCACCTGGCCAAAACACACAGTAGGGCTCCATGGATGTTGCTAAATGAATGAGTAAATAAACTTTTCAAGGCCAAGGGACAGTGGTCTAATTCAAATCTGTGTCCCAGCGACTGGCACATGGTAGGTGCTCAGAAATGTTGCTTGAATGCTGCTTGAATGACTGAACAATGAATGAGTGAATGAGCTCTGAAAGCAGAAGCTCTATCTAGTTGGTGGTGACTGGAGGGCCAGATTTTGTGTCCAGTTCTGTGCCAGACGCACAATGGGAGATGGGGAGGGAACACCATCTGTTGAGCACCTATATGCTCAAAACACTGGGCTAGACCCTTTCCCCCTTCTCTCATTAATCCTTGCACTCATCCTTGGAGATAAGTTAAATCATGCCCAATTCACAGAGGAGAAAACTGAGGATCAGAGGGATGAAGGGATTGCCCTTGATCCCACAGAAGAACTGGGAGGGCAGTTCTGCCCACTGATAACTGAGACCTCTTTCAAGGCAAGGCATCTAGGCCCCTAAAGGGGTATTCTCTGTGTAACGTCACAAACCTCCACCCAAGGGATCAAGGAGCCTTTCTTCAGTCTTAAGTGACCTTGGAATCAAGACCCTTCCTCTTTTGATTCTCACCACATGCTCTCCCTCCCAATGTCTTCCCAGCCTGGCTCAAGCTCAGCCATCCAGTTAGAACACACGTCACTCCCCTGCTCAATTATCTTCAGTGGCTCCCCACTGCCAACTGGACATAGTCCCTGCCCACGAGCTGGCATTCAAGGCGCTCTTTGGATTGACCTTCCAGTCTCAATCCTTCCTCTCCGGGACAAATAATATCTCCACTCCAGACCAGCTGGACCCTTTCTGTCTTCTAGGCAAGACACATGCTTTCCTGCCCTGATGCCCTTACTCTCACGGTTCACCTTCCACTCTGCCCATCTAACCATCCTTTAAAACCTCATTCAAGCCACACCCTCTCCCTAAAAGCAGACCATGCCAGCCCTCATAGCTCTTACCCCTCCAACCTCCTCTAACCCCATTTCTCAATTGTTCAAGTCTGAGCACACACTGCCTGCATCTAGCGTTTCACTCATGCTCACCCCGTCTCCCCAGCTAAGCTGTGAGCCCCTTACCCTGCTCATCTCTGAACCCCTCCCAGCCCTGCACCTGCTCTCTGCAGCCCCTCTTACTAGTCCCACCCACCAAGACTCTCAACCAATCCTGACCAGAGGTAGAAGGGATTTAAAGCACTTCAGCCTATCCCAAAGGGTTATAGCACCAGTCCAGCCTCCTGCTTGGCTAGCCTGTTTCTCAGGATTCCGTTCATTGGGTGCAGCTTCTGCCCTATCTCCTGGGCTTCAGGCCTGCCCCCAACCTCAGACTCTTCAAAGGGGACCTGGATTGAGCCTTTTCACCAGGGGCTGGGCCTTCTTTCTGCTACTCAACCCTTTCAGTACAAACTGTCTGCCTGGTCTTTGTGTCTAGTAAGAATTGTTATAATAATAACAACCACACCACGACTGAGTTAAGTTACTGTGTACTTAGTGTTTTGTGTGCATTAGCTCATTCAACCCCCACCACAAACCCTGGGAGGCACATACTATTCTCCTCATTTAAAAAATAAGAATCTGAGGCTCAGAGAGGGCAAGGGATTTGCCCAGGGTCACACAGATGCAAGTATACAGCCAGGATTGGAGCCTGCTTCTGTTTGTCTCAAAGCTCTTGCTAAATCTCTCCTGTTGGAATTCCCCCTGCAGTCCCCCAGCCTCTCACCTGAACCCATCCAACCTCAGGAGTCCACGTTCCCGAGCCTCTACCGTTGGGTCTGTCTGTACAGGGCTACACTCCACCCCAAGGGCAGATCTGCTTGCTGGTGGTGAGCACGTGCAGGGCACCCCAAGTCGCTGCAAGGACCCAGGCAAAGCCGGCCATGGCCAAGACATCAGAGCTCATCTCTAGTGCTGCCTTAAGCCGGCTGGCTTTCCTGCAGGACCTGCCCTCCTCTGACTCCTGACCCGTAGACCCTGACCCTGCCGCCTTTCCTCTGTCAGACCCCTACCCTGACAGCACTCTGAACTGTGCCTTTTGTGCCTCCCCTCCCAGCTTCCAGATCTGCCAGGGGTCCAGGGCTCTCACTGCGTGTTCAGCCATGCCCACTGCAATCAAACATACCTTGCTTTACACAAACATTAACATATCGAAACACTTTACCTTTGTTAGTTTGCTCTTTCCCACACTGTGAGGAGGGTTCACCTTGTCAGCTCTCTGGAGAGATGGTTGAGGTTTCATCACAGGAACCAGGACCAAGAATGATGGGAGGAGCCTGGAGGTGACCATAGGTGGGTCTCGGGATTTTGCCTACTCCATCACTGTCCGGACCTGCCTTTTCCCCTTTGTCCCTTCTCAGAGTGGATGGGGTTGAAACTCAGATCTCCTGGCTGGGCTAGCTAGTTGAGCAGGAGAAGGAAGGGAAGTGGTCTTCTCAGGCCTGTGACCCTTGACCTTCATGCACCCACCTTGACTCGGACTCATAACCCTCAACATGCCAGAGTCCTTTTAGTTTCCAGACTTCCAAGAAACCTCCTAGAAATAATTTACCAGAAAAGGAGGGACTTATCAGGAGAGGCCAGAGGACCTACAGGACCCAGGAACAGGTGGGACAGCTCAGTCTCAGTGGACATGGGTGCCAGACCGGGGCTGCTATGTCTCCCACTGGGACCTCTCGGCTCTGAGCCTCTCTCTGCAGATTGGCCCTCTTAACTGTTAAAGGCAAGTGGAGAAAAATGGATGCTCCCAACAACAGCCTGGGCCACCAAGTCATCCCCTACCCCTCAAGAAAGTAACACAGAGACTAACGTCTCCAATTCCCAGTTCCCAGGAGAGGGGATCTGATTGGCCCAGCTTGGAGCAAGAATACTCCTGGCGCAATCAGCTGAGGCCAAGAAGGAGCAGGCCTATAATAATAGCAGCTCATGGTTATTGACCAAAACGCCCAGTGAGTATTCTCTCCTGTACTAGTCACAACAAGCCTAAGGAGCAAATCTTCTAACCCTGTGGTTATCAAACTTCAGCAGGCATCACAATCACCACGAGGGCTTGTTAGAATTTGCATTTCCTGGGAATTCCCTGGTGGTCCAGTGGTTAGGACTCTGTGCTTTCACTGCTGAGGGCGCAGGTTCGATCCCTGGTCTGGGAACTAAGATCTCACAAGCCACAAGGTGTGGCCAAAAACAAAAAAAAGAATTTGCATTTCCTAAGAGTCCCCACATGCTGCTGGTCCTGCTGCCTGAGGGACCACACTTTAGGAACCACTGCTCTAATTTTATTGCTCCCATTCTATAGTTAAGAATGTTGAGGTTCAAGGATGAGATGTTACTTGCCCATGTCACACAGAAGATTCAGAATTTAGATCCAGGGACTTCCCTAGTGGTCCAGTGGTAAAGAATCCGCCTTCCAATGCAGGCGCCTTCCAATGCAGGGGACATGCCTTCCAATGCAGGGGACATCCCTGGTCAGGGAACTAAGACCCCACATGCCATGCAGCCAAACAAACAAACAAACAAAAAAACAGAAGAAGAGGAAAGGAGGGTGAAAGCAAAGAAGGAAGCTGGGGGCTTGATAAGTAATAATAATAACAGCTCACAGAGTACCTGATGCTTGGTGACCTTTACAATCATGTCCCCCTTTCACAGAGGGGAACACCAAGGCACAGAGCAGTTAAGTGGCTTGTCTGATGTTACACAACTAGTAAGTAATACAATGAGCATTCAATGCAAGGCAGTTTGGCTTCGGAGTCACTGCTCCCCACGGCAGGCAGGAGGCCCCTGAGGGGCTGTGTGGTGTGGCAGGTGAGGGCACTGCCTCTTGAGTCAGACAGACTTAAGATCAAATCCTGCCTGAACTCTTTACCAGCTGTGCGACCACGTCAAGTGACTGCCCTGGTCTTCTATGTTACCTGCTTACAAACAAACGATGCAGTGCACACGCTGGTATGTATCAGTGATTCTTCTCTTGGATTAAATTCCTCGAAGTGGATTCCCTAGGGGAAAGGATGTGTAAACTTTGAAGCTTTGAAACGTGAAAGGATTGTCTGTCAAGGCTGGACTCGCCAGGCCAGCTCCAGGCTTGCTGCCACCAGGGGGGAGCAGACACCAGGAGACGGACAGCCTGGAAGAGGAGCCGGTGGACGGGCAGCTGAGATGGGACCTGGAGCTCCTGCCTCCTCCCTCCCTTTTCCCCAAGCCCATCTCACTCCCTGGGTGGGCTACAAGCTTCTGGGGTGGGGCTGAGCATCAGCTTTGAAGACCCAAGTTCCTCTAAACCAGGATCTTCAAAGTGTGGCTCCAGCATCAGCATCACCTGGGAGCGTGTTAGAAATACTGGTCCTCTGTCCCCACCCCAGATTGGGTGAATCAGAAAATCTGGTGATGGGGCCCCACATTCTGTGTTTTAAAACAAGCCCTCCAGGTGATTTTGATGCAGCTAAAGTTTGAGAATCACTGCTGTACACCAGGGGCTGCCAAACTTTTTCTGTAAAGAGCCCAATTAGGAATTATTTTAGGTTTGGTGGCCATACAGGCTCTGTTGCAACTACTCAACCCTGCTCTGTAGCATGAAGACAGCCACAGACAATATATAAATAAATGATCATGGCTCTGTTCCAATCAATCTTTAAGCATACTGGAATTCAAATTTTACATAATTTTCAAGTCACAAAATATTTTTCTTTTGATTTTTTTTCAACCATTTAGAAATGTAAAAACCATTCTTAGCTAGCAAGCTGCACACAGTCTGTGGGCTGGATTTGCCATTCTGCTCTAGATCAAGGTATGGCTCCAGGCTTGGAAAGGGAAGAGCAGGAACTTGAACCCAGAACTGCCTGATTCCCAAGCCAGTTCACCTTCCATTAGGTTAGTCTGCCGGGTTCCAACCTTGGGACATTGACAG